GAAATCGGCAGATTTTACCTCTCTTTCTTTGGACATTTTGTCACAAGAGACCAGTTCCTGGAGAAGGACATCCTGCTTGGTTTATTTGAGGGTCAGCAAAAAAGAGGAAGCCCCTAAACTTCATGAACTGACACAGTGGCAGCAACAATGGTCTCACACATAACAATTGTGAGGATGGCGCAGTACCAGACAGTGTTCATTCTGTTGTTCATTGGAACAGAAGTGACTCAATAGCACCTAACAACAGCAAAGCAAAACAGCTCTGCCCTCAAAATGGCAGCGTTAGTGCTCTCTCTCACAAGTTTTATTTGTTGTTCGGATTTTTGTATTTCTATCACTTATTTGTCATAAAGTTTGAGTTGTCAAGGACTTCATTCTTCTTGGATCAACTAGCAACACTCACGGAAGCAGCAGTCAAGAAATCAAATGATGTGTTGCATTAGGCAAATCTGCTGCACAAGACCTTTATAAAGAGTTGAAGAACAAAGATGTCAGCTTGAGGACTAAGGTGTGCGTGATCCAAACCATGATATTTTCAATAACCTCATATGCATGTGAAAGCTGAACAGTGAATAAGGAAGACCATAGAAGAATTGATGCTTTTGAGTTATGGTGTTGGAGAATATTGAAAGTGCCATGGGCTGCCAGAAGAACCAACAGATCTGTGTTGGAAGAAGTGCAGCCAGAGTGCTCCTTGGAAGCCAGGATGGCCAAACTGCATCTCTCATCCTTCGGACCTCCGAAGGGACCAGTCACTGGTCCGAAGGGACTAGTCACTGGAGAAGGATATCATGTTTGGTAAGGTGGAGGGTCCAAGAAAAAGAGGAAGACCCCCAGTGAGATGGATTGGCATAGTGTCAGCATCAATGGGTTCAAGTGTGGCAACAATAGTGAGGTTGGCCCAGGATCAGGCAGTGTTTCATTCTGTTGTGCATAGGGTCGCCACAGGTCAGTACCGACTCAATGGCACCTAACAACAATAGCAATCACTTATTTAACTTTTTAATAAATGTAAATATAAGTTCTATGCAATTTTGTGTTCTGACCTTCAAACTAGCCCTCCATATACAACTAAAATTATGCTTAACACACTAAGTAGTAATGTATAGTGGCTGTTGTCCTTCTATGAATTCTGGTAGCACTGTAGGATAAACACTGGGTTACTTACCACAGTTTGGCAGTTTAAGCCCACCAGCATCATCATAGGAAAAAGACAATTTGGTCTGCCTCCATAAAGACTTACAGTCTTAGAGGCCCTATGTCGTCGTTGTTAAACGCCATCTAGCCAGTACTGACTCATAGCGATCTTATGCGCAGCAGAATGAAACACTCCCTGGGCCTGCGTCAGTCTCACAATCCGTGCTATGCTTGAGTCCATTATGGCTGCCACTGTGCCATTCCATTTTGTTGGGCGTCTTCCTCTTTTTCTCTGACCCTCCACCTTGTTGTTGTTGTTAAGTGCCGTCGAGTCGGTTCCTACCCATAGCGACCCTGAACAGGGTTTCCGAGGCTATAAATCTTTAGGAGAGCAGAAAGCCTCATCTTTCTCCCGCAGAGTAGCTGGTAGTTTCCAACTGCTGACCTTGCAATTCGCAGCCCGATTCGTAACCACTGCGCTACCAGAGACCCTCCACCTTACCAAACATGATATCCTTCTTTTTCAATGACTGTCTACAGTGACCTCTAGTGGTTACCAGTGACTTCTAGTGGTTACGATGACTGTCTACAGTGACCTCTAGTGGTTACGAGTCGGGCTGCTAACCACATGGTCTGCCGGTCAAAACTACCAGCTGTTCCGTGGGAGAAAGATGAGGCTTCCTGTAGGCTGTAAAGATTTACGGCCTCGGAAACCCTATGCAGGGTCACTATGTGTCGTAATCGACTCCGCGGTACACCACCACCACTTCTCTACCAAGCATTATGTCCATCTCCAGTGACTGGTCCCTCATTATACTGTGGCTAAAGTATGAGAGATGAAGTCGGCCCATCCTGGCTTCTAAGGAGTATTCTGACTGTGCTTCTTTCAACAAGAGTTGTTTGTTCTTCCAGCAGCCCATGGTACTTTCAATATTCCTCTCCAACACTACAATTCAAATGCATCCATTCTTCTACGGTCTTCCTTATTTACTGTCCAACTTTCACATGTATATGAGAATATGAAAATACCATGGCTTCCTCCAACTGACATCTTTGCTCTTGAACACCTTAAAGAGCTCTTGTGCACCAGATTCATCCAGACAATACGCCATTTGATTTCTTGACAGCTGCTGCATCCATGAGTATAGATGGTTGATCCTAGCAAGCTTAAGTCTTGGACAACGTCAATCTTTTTCCCACTTATCTTAATGTTATTCATCAGTCCAGTTGTGAGAACTTTTGTTTTAGTTATATTGACATGCAACCAGTACTGAAGGCTGAGATCTTTTTCTTGTCTGTCTTAGGCTGTAGTTGGGATAACGATTACTTCATAAATAATGACCGATGCTTTCAAGCAGAGAGGTGCTCTGTGTGAAATAACTTACTATCATTGCTATAGTAGAAGCTGTTGATGTCTAATGTCTAGCTCTATTAATTCATTGTGGGGTTGCAATTTAGTGATATTCTAGAGATGTTGTTGTTGTTGTTAAGTGCCATCGAGTCGATCCGACCCATAGCGACCCTGTACAGGGTTTCTGAGGGTGTAAATCTTTACGGGAGTAGAAAGCTTCATTTTTCTCCCGCGGAGCAGCTGGTAGTTTCGAACCGCTAACCTTAAGGTTCGCAGACCAATTCATAAATTCTAGAGATAGTTCTTCATGTATTGACTAGAACACATCTAAATAGGAGAGCTCATAACAGCTCTTATTTATTTATATGGTGACACAATTTGTACTGGATAGACAGTATAAACATTTGACTCATTCCTTTTACTTGTTGTTGTTGTTGTTGTTAAGTACCATGGAGTCAGTTCCGACTCATAGTGACCCTGCACAGGGTTTCCGAGGCTGTAAATCTTTATGGGAGCACAAAGCCTCATCTTTCTCCCGTGGAACAGCTGATAGTTTTGAACTGCCGACCTTGAGGTTAGCAGTCCAATTCGTAACCACTATGCTACCAGAGCTCCTTTTCCTTTTCCTTATTAGATTTTAAATAAAAAGATATCAAGGATGCAAGAATTAGACCACTACACAGGTACTCATCTTTATATCATATTACACATAATTCTCAGAATAATATCAGCAATACCTCTAGGTGGAACAAAACTCAAAATTATTATTTTTTTTTTTTTTTACAAGAGTGTCCTTATTGGTCAGAAAGTGATGGGAGGAACCTGAGACTAAAGTCCTTGACCACCCTTCAGGTCTAGAAAGGAACTCACGCTTGTGGTCCAATTTGCAACCAAACAGCAGATAGGTGTATGGGGGTGGGGTAGGCTGGGGGAGAACATTCATAAGATATGCTCACCATGGAGGGGTCAATGATTTAAAATTAACATGGCAATATTTCCCTAATGACAAAGTTGAAAGGGGATTGGAAGGTGGGTGGAATGGAATAGAAGGGAAATAGGAATCAAAGGGAGGAAGCAGGATCACTGTTGTTCTATGGAGAGATTTGCAATCATTGAGATGAAACAAAGTATACGATTTGTTGAATGTAAAACTAATGATCTTGTCTGTAAACCACTCAATTCACAATAATAAGTTTAGAAAATTAACATAAATAAAAGGTCCAGGATGGCAAAAACTACCACCAGTGTTGAGACATTGTACCAAGTGGAATTTGAACTTTCATTTTTTCCTGTTATCTGTCTGTTGTCTTTAAGTCCTACCAGAAGACCTGAATGGCAAGGAGGCAGAGACAAGAAGATCGATCATTCTACAGAGAATGAGTTTCTCAGCTTATCCCACTCTTACTTACTCTGTGGTCCTTCTTTGGTGGTTTCTGCAGCCATGGGGACAACATGACAAAAATCCATACCTTAGTAGATTGGGTGAAAAGTCACTTGTTGTTGTTGTTAGGCTGTTAGGTGTCACTGACTCATAGCGACCCTGTGTACAACAGATCAAAACGCTGCCAGGCCTGCACCAACCTCACAATCACTGCTATGTTTGAGCCCATTGCTGCTGCCACTGTGACAATTCAACTCCTTGAGGTTCTTCCTCTTTTTTGTGTGTGGGACCCTCCACTTTACTAAACACACTATCCTTCTCCAGGGATTGATTCCCTCCTGATAATACATTCAAAGTATGAAAAGCCATTGTTGTTGCTGTTAAGTGCTGTCAAGTCAATTCTGACCTATAGCGACCCTGTATAGGGTTTCCAAGGAACAGCTGGTAAGCTTGAACCACCGACCTTGCAGTTTAAATGACATTGTTGTTGTTGTTAAGTGCCATCGGGTTGATTCTGACCTGTAGTGACTCTGTATAGGGTTTCCGAGGAGCAGCTGGTAAGCTTGAACCATCGACCTTGCAGTTCAAACGGCTTTGCAGTCTGGTGCATTAACCCACAGCGCCACACCTATCAGGCATCTATTCCCCTCTCCTATTTATCCCTTTCTACTTGAATGCTCCTCCAAGAAGCTCTGGTAGCATAGTGATTGTGAGTCAGGCTGTGATTCTCAAGGTCAGCAGTTCGAAACCACCGGAGGCGCTGTGAATGAAAGCTCCCTTACACTTGGTAGCCCTGGTATGATGGCACTGCGGGTTAATGCGCCAGACTGCAAAGCTGTTTGAACTGCAAGGTCTATGGTTCAAGCTTACTGGCCACTCCTGGGAAACCCTATATAGGGTCACTATGAGTCAGAACTGACTCACCGGCACTTAACAAAAAAAAAACAACTTGAATGCTCCCCAGTCTCCGGATATGGGCCAGATAGTGACACTTAGGCTTCTAGGTAGAGATATCATCCTGTAGCCTCAGGGGTCAGGATCCAGAACCAATACTTGTCATTCTTGCCCCAGGGTGGGGCCTATTACAGTAGATAAACTCCAACTAGGAGAACTGTGTCCCACAAGACAACCATGCGTCGAGCTCTTGGGTGGCTGCTGTTGTCCCTGCTGTCTTGTTCCTGTGCTCAAAGTGTCCTCAGGAGACAGACTCGGGGTGCCTCATCGAGCAAAGTGAAGCACTCTCATGAAGGCTGGTTCCAGCAAAAGCTCGACCATTTGAGCAAAAATGTCCCTTCGTTCTGGAAACAGGTAAAAATTATAATAATAATAAGCAAAGCAAATGATGCCAGGTGGGAGAGTGCATGAGCTAGGGGCCTTGATGAGTGATCCACAGAGATACACAAGGTAAGCGAGAGGCCAGGAGGACCTCAGTGCAAATGGTTCAGTGCTGAAAGGTTGGTAATAGAACCCAGTCAGAGGTACCTCAGAGGAAAGACCGGGAGACTGCTTCAAAGAGATCCCAGCCGTGAAATGTCTGGAGCAGAGTTCTCCTCAGATACTGATGGGTGCAAGATGAGTCCAAATTAATTGGATGTCATCAGGTTGGGTTTTTGTTGTGTTTATTGGTTTGTTTTTTAAACTTTGTGCTAGGTTTGTGCTTATTGTTTTATACCAATTTAGGATTTTTAATATTTTTTCCATCATCGAAAATACAGATGTATAAAGACATGAATGTGTATCTTGAGGCTAATAGCCGGAAGCTTTTATAATACTTATTCCTACTGTTTCTATGATTTTTCTAGTATGTGGGCTTTGAAGGGTTTTCTTGGACACATTTAACCAGAGGCTAAATATTATCAAAGAGCTCTGGTAGTGTACTGGTTACGAATCGGGCTGTGAACCTTAAGGTCAGCAGTTCAAAACTACCAGCTGTCCCACGGGAGAAAGATGAGGCTTTCTGCTCCTGTAAAGATTTACAGCCTCACCCTGTACAAGGTTGCTATGGGTCGGAACTGACTCCACGGCACATAACAACAACGCTATCAGAGCTAGCACACATTTAACCATTAATCAAATTTTGCCTGTGCATTTTCATGACTGATTCACAATATTTATCTATCCTATTCTGCTAGCGTGGTGGTTACAAATCAGGCTGCGAACCACAAGGTCAGTAGTTCGAAACTATCAGCTGCTCCACAGGAGAAAGATGAGGCTTTCTGCTCCTGTAAAGATTTACAGCCTGGGAAATCCTGCTCAACGTTGCTGTGAGTCAGAACTGACTCCACACCACATCACCACCACTACCAAATACTGTCAGATGCACAAAAAACTGAAAACTCAGAGAGGGTTTTTTAATTTATGTTTCTTGTTTTCTTTTATTTTGTGTTTAAAGAACAGAATTTTATTTTCTCCCCATTCTGGAAATGAAAAGCACAAAGCAGGCTAACAGCCATGTGTGTAAGTTTCTGATGAATGCCTAGGCATTACTTGTTGTGTAACATCTTACTATGTGAATGTCTATTTATTCTCTTTTTACAGCTCACAAATGATTGCAGCTAGGGATCAGCCTACTCTTCTATAATAAAACAAAGTCCCTTTTCCAAAGATCATATTTGTAGGTTACCAGGGTTAAGATTTCAATGTATCTTTTAAAATATGCATTTTCCCAAGAATATTCCACATTGTAGAAAGTATAAGTATTGCTATGACTGGAAACAAACATGCTCAGAATTTGTCTACAGGAAGTAAGTGGAAGAACTGAGCTTAGAATCTGGTCATTTAACTCTACCTAATGTTCTTTTCACTGGCCAAAACAGAAACCTTTTTAAATGTTTGCTGTATTTGGAAATCAGATACTGAGGACCAGGAACTTCTTGCTGTGGAATTTTAGATTTATCCAGAGGAGAGTATAGAGCAACTAGAAGTCTTTGTGGAAAGGTATAGCATGGAGTGGCGCTGTGGGTAAATGTGTCAGATTGGAAAGCCGTTTGAACTGCAAGGTCGGCGGTTCAAGCTCACCAGATGCTCCTCGGAAACCCTATACAGGGTGGCTATGGGTTGGTATCACTGGAAAGAGGGCTCAAAAAAACTATATTTTTACTTTTGTCACGTTTCATTTATTAGCTGATATATATAATAATGAAATGTGACTAAATTAGAATATATATTGTTGTTGTTAGGTGCCATCGAATTGGCACCAACTCATAGCAATCTTATGCACAGCAAAACGAAACAATGTCTGATCCTGGGCCAACCTCACTACTGTTGCCACACGTGAGTCCATCGATGCTGCCACCTGGACAATCCATCTCATTGGGAGTCTTCCTATTTTTTATTGACCTTCCATCTTACAAAACATGATATCCTTCTCCAACGACTGTTCCCTCCTGACAATATGTCCAAAGTATGAGAGACGAAGTTTGGCCATCTTGGCCTCTAAGGAGCACTCTGGCTGCACTTCTTCCAAAA